CCATCTGCCAGCAAAATTTGACAACGAAATTTTTCAGATTATATGCTGTCCTCTATCCGATGTCCCATGACTGACGCCAGCAATTTCACCCCCGAGTAATGACAACCCTTAAGTAACGTAACTAACACCGATAAAAATAAAAAAAAAAAAAGAAGAAAAAACACGGAAGTAAAAGAAACAGTCCAGTGGAAAATTGCGATGAAATTGCAATTCTAATCTAACATATGCGCCAACTTTATTTAGACCAAGATACACGAATGAAAGATTTTTGTAATTGCACGTGAAATTAGGACGCACGCCCCTGACATCCAAGATAAAGATTTGATTTTGAATAGGGAAGAGAATACGATCTGCAGAGAAAGTATTACATTTCCTATTTACATATTTATTGTTCTCGATATTTTACCCAACACCTTTTACACCGACAACAGCCATTAAGTATATTCATCCATGGGCACCGTAACGTCGTCACGTAACTCCGTTTATGCTAATTCTCCTCCGAAGCCACAGGCTCGTTGCCGGTTCTCTTCTTCCGTGTCCATATTTCGTTGTCGACGCTTTTATAAAAGAGGAAGAGTAAGAGGAGAAACAGAATTAATCGAACATTAGATTAGTTGATGCTCTCGCTGCAGAGAATTTCTGAAGACTCACTCGTCCGACGTGTCTTTGGAGTAGCCAGCCAAAGTTTGCCAAAGTTCTCGAGGCCCTTCTATCGCTAAAGGGAAGTGTTGCCAAGCCCATACATCTGTTGAAAGAATTGTTCAATGTTTCTTCAAGAATAATTCTCCTTTCCTACCTTCGTTCGATTGCATTTTTCTCTAGAGTCTAAATCTTTCTTCTGACAAAGAAGCTGACTTATTGTAAAGTTAATTTATCATAGTTATTGTAAGGTAATTTATTACCATCGACCGGTATCACGCGTCTTTTTATGGGTCTCGAGAATGGTTCGTCGCTGGCGTACGATGGCCAAGATTCAGTCTTGAAAAACGTAGAAAAGGTATATTGATTTCATATAAAACAATTGGAGACTTTGCGAAGCAAGAAATGTTCCCACAAGCTAATATACTGTCTGACCAAAACCACTTGTTCTACTGTGTAATATACTGCTGCACTTGATAGAATGGATTGGTTAAAATTGCAAAATAATCTCAATTAGCAATACTTGTACACCACTCTCGTGGACTGAAACCTTAGGAATGTTCCTCCGTGATTTAAGGAAGTCATTGTATCCCTCGCTACGTCCCACGCGTGGAATATTCTTCGCGATTTTCAGGAAGAACGCTGGTACTTCGTCGGCCTTGGACGCATCCCCACAAATCAGCAGTGCCAAAACGCCAGCCAAAAGAACTAAAACATTCGGGAAAACTCACTGTCAAGCACCGACTGTCACCACGACTCTCCAATTGAAAAAAAAAAAAATAAATAAATAAACTCACCACCAACAAACAGACGTCGCGAGAATCCTGAAACTCGCAAACTCGTCATCGTTTCGCCTTGAATCTGCAAACTTGTCGATTACCAATCAGTTCAAGTGTTCAAGTGAAAATCATTCGATCAGCAAAGCACTATGATTTCGTTAACGAGGTGTTCTAATTTATTAACGACCACGTCCACTCCCGGGTTGGACCATCGTCGTTGTCCGCGAAAAGTCGTATCGTGAAGTCTGGAACAAGCGAGGAGAGAGAAATGCACGCGACACGCGTTCCACGACTGTATGGGGGAAACTGAGCGATTTTTCCTAGGACTTCTTCCATTATCGCGAAGAGGAGTGGACAGAATACTCTTGCACCGTGGGCGAAAGGAATATAAGAGAGTTTGCACGGCGAAGCTCCGTCGCATTTAAATATCCCGAATGTTTGCCGTAGCATCTGCACGATCATCTTGCGTGAGAAATCTACCCCACGTGTACATTCCATCACAATCTAGCCACTTCACACTCGACGTTGAAATATACTACCAATTTGAAGATTTAAGATTTACGTTTTCTCTCTCTCTCTCTCTCTCTCTCTCTCTCTCTCCTCGTGCGATATTTAGTATGTATGAATAGATCATTAATCACAAAATTGTAGAATTGAAGAAGCTGAATTAACAGGTGAAGATAACAGGAGAAGAACGGGACATTTTTATGATATGAAACAGGATAATTTCTTAGAAAAATCTTAGCTGGCAAGTTGTATAAAATTATTCAGGCGAGCAACTTTTTTTTTT